TTGAGGGGCTCGAAGATGGGAGGGCTTTAGTGCACATACTTTCATGGTGTTAGAGGTTTCAGGGCTTCTAGGTCTGATTCTGGGGTTTCCCATCTTCAGTGTTGGACGGATAGGCGGTTTCCTCGCGTAAAGTCTGATTTGAGCACCAACGCAGAGAGTTGCGGGCTAGCCCGCAATCCAAAGTCCCGACTGCCAAACCCACAACCAAGACCGTGAGTGTAGGGTAAGGGCAAGAACCCCAATATCCTAATCCCCGAGACCCCGCACTTTTCAGAGACGTTGGAAGCAGAGGCCCGACTTCATTCGGCTGCAGGGGCAGACGGTGTCAGGCACTTGGAAGGCAGCGGGCGCGGGCAGAAGTAGAGCCCCAAGTCAATTTGAATAGTATAGCTTCAGCAAAAAGTCGCGATTTGCTTTGATTCCGTTGTGATCCCCACGTCTAGACCCTGCAGAAAAGAATATGTCTCTACAAGCCTGTTCAGATTGGTTCTGAGGCTCGGCTTGGGTACCCCTTGAGCTTCCAGATCCATGTCCTCCCATGCAGAAAAGTTCCCCTCCGTGTAGCTTTCTGCCTTCTTTACGCCCAACTGTCTGCAGTAAGCCTTGCAGCAGGTGGCCTCAGCGCTGGACGTCATGGAGCCAGGCCTGCATATGAAGGATCCTGTTTCGTGCAAGTAAGAAGATGTGGGAGGGGATTGGTGATCCCAAACCGCCCCCCCAAGCCCGAAATTGCAAAGAAAACCCTGGGCCCCAAAGGTCCAAAGCTGTACCAAAGACCTTACAGTAAGGCCCAAAGGCCTGAAGCCCCTAAAGGCCCTGAACCCCTAAAGCCCTAAACGGCCCTAAACCCTTGAAACACAGGCCAGCCAGTCCCCGGCCTGGTGCCAACCTTCGCCATTGTCTGGATCCCAGCTCGGAACCATTCATGCACTTGCTCAGGCGGAGGGTCAGGGTTTAGGGTTTAGGGGCTAGGGTTTAGGGGTTTAAGATCATGGCTCGTTTATACTCCCTGTCTCTACACATGTATCCGTGCAGCTTTCTGGTAAATGCACGCGGCAACTCCTGGTAATTACCTAGGCCTTGCTTTGGGGGGTGGAGGAAGCCCGACGCCTTCGCGTTACACCTGGGGCTGAATGACGTGCTTCATGCTGTCTCACTTAGCCCGGAACGTAACACCCAATCTCTACATACCCGAAGCAGTGAAGCCTTGGAACGAACACCGGGCCAACCGAAAAGGTCCGTAAGCTCTGCTTCTCGTGTCGTGTAGTCACGAGTCTCGAGGTACCTAGCTTCATGGACCCGGAAGCTTTGCCAGAGGCTTTCCATGCGTCTGGGGGATTGGTGTGGGGCCCACCGGGTGCAACTTCACTGATTCTGAGAAGTGCCCATTTCATCAGCCATCACGCTGTCCGACAGCACGTTCTCAACCTGTCGCGTGCTCCTCCAACTTTGCTGTTGCGCCGCAGCCTGGTCAGTGTAAGGCCGCATCTGCAAAACGATCTGACAGCAGCACGCACAAAGCCCGAACCGGAGAGGCAGCCATCCTTATCGGGTATGGGTTCTCCGGCAACAGATGGCAGCTGCCTCAACAAGCGTTGTGAAGATGGCACACAACTTGGAGGGTCGCTTGTATCTTGCTTGTGTTTCGTGTTGAGATACAGAAATCAAGGGTTGATGGCGACATGCTACGATTGATATTACGAGTAGTATTTTTGCTGGTTATCATCAGGCTTAGCGATTATTATCATCAATGATCGGAGTCGCAGTTGTTTTGTTGCTACAGTATAACCTAGCAACCTAGCAGTCTAAGTCTAGCACCCCTTCTAATGTCAGAGTTGTGTTACTTCCATTGCTACAATTCCGATACCGGTAGGATTTTGGAGATTACGATCTCGGTTATTCTCCTCTATGCTTGGTTAGTTAGTATTGATGTTTTTTGTTAGGCGTGTGCCTTGCATCGATTTTTATTGCACTTCTACAGAGGTTCGGACGCTGTGACGCGCGCTCTCATCTGCTCAGGACTTGCCGTTGGACTTCGGTGAATACCAAAGGAGTACCATTCCGGTACTTCGGCACGGTCATCAACAACACTGCCAGGATCTCGGGTACCTTCTCAAGCCCTGAATCCACCCGAAGCGCCAACGCATCACTACTGCTAAATCTGGAGAACTTGAAGCAAACAGGAACGACTCAGTAGTAGTAATACTAATAGTAGTAGTAGTAGTAGTAGTAGTAGTAGTAGTCGTAGTCGTAGTCGTAGTCGTAGTAGTACTCGTAGTAGTACTAGTAGTAATAGTAGTAGTAGTAGTAGTAGTAGCAGCAGCAGCAGCAGCAGCAGCAGCAGCAGCAGGAGTAGTAGTAGTAGTAGTAGTAGTAGTAGTGGTAGTGCTAGTGGTAGCGGCTCTGGTAGTGGTAGTGGTAGTGGTAGTAGTGGAAGTAGTTGCAACAGTAATTGCAGGACTAGTACAACCACGCAACCGCCAGCAAAGTTGGAACTGATAGCTCAGTGGGCCGCAGAATGCAACGCTCACGAGTCGCCATGTAGAGCATTGTCTGTAGTGTTTGTCGATGATGCTTGTCAAGCGCAGGTGGCATTGCACCCCTGTCCTAGAGACCCACTGAGGCTGCCAGTCTGGAGACTGCGTCAGTCAGAATTCTTATTTCGAGCTCCGGCAGCACAGAGGAAGAATGCCTTACCTGAGACGGCACCTCGCCAGAGGTGGCCAATGAAGGGATAAGCTGACTGTTCCAGCATCGGAGGCATAAACTTCTTACAGTGGGATCCAACCCATATCGAGTTCGCGAGGCGACATTCGCGAGTAGTCCTGAAGTTTTTACGTTGTTGTTTTGAATTGGTGCTAGCGCCCTGTTCAGTCTAGCGCCTCAGTCCTAGGTTGACATGGAAAACGATGCAAGTACGGTGCAGAATCACATTGAACACCGTTGAATTGCCTGCGCATCGGACTCGGAATCCACGTTTTGCAGTTTTGTTCGCAATTCAATATGACTCGTCACAGCATTTAGCTGGGATCTGGACTCGGTTGCAAGAAGCTTTGATGCAACTTCTCACGCTATGAGCTTTCTACGCCTTTTCCCAGCGACCGCAAAGGAGTACGTCATGTGCACTGATCCGACTTAAGTTGGCCCCATGTAGCAGTTGGTAGAGTCACCTGAAGAATGGATTCAGTGAGATCTCGCGTGCAAGGACATCACCAACACCGTGTTCACAGCATCTTGTCAGTGTTTGGCGAAGCACCGCGGGCACAAGCTTTTGCCTATTCAGCAGCCAAGCCCAGAAGCCCACTTTCATGTTCCTGTTCGCACTGTTGTCGTCACCACTTTGGCAAGTCCTCGAGTGAGCATGGTGCAGCGGCAGCACCAGCAGCACATCACAACCTTCACCACCATCATCATCACCATCTCACTTTCGTGGTTGTCACCACCACCGCCGCAGCCGTCGCCGCCACTGCCCCCGACGCCGCCGCCGCGGCACCAGCAGCATCATCACCTCCAGCAGCTCGTGCTCACTATCATCACTTACAGGCGGCCTGCGAGCAATGGTACCTTGCACACAAGCTACCTCTGGACTGTCTCGCGCAATCGGATCCGCAGCAACAGAGCCGAGGCACTCTTCGTTCTGGATGTGGGAATTCGAATTCTCGCTACAGGGCCACGCCTGTACTTTCTTGGACCACCGAATCGGGACCGGGAAGACACTGCATGAGCATGAGAAAGGTTTAGTTTTGTTGCGCATTAGGAGGGCATCTGCTTTGAGAACGTGCCATCTGCTGAGCATAGATTTCGAGTGGACATGCTGTCACCGTAACGCCTACTGTAACTATGCATGCTGTCTCCTGGTTGTCAGATATTTCGCTAGTCCTTTCAGCAGCCAGAGCTCAGTTTGCACGCCTTTTTGCCAATTTGAAGCATTGGGGAAGACCAGGACTTCATCCCGTCGGGCTCTCAGATTACGTCTGCGCGGCAGCTGTCCTGGCAGCCACCTGTAAGTTGATCCCGTCCACGAAATATGCATTCGAGAGTCGCCGCGTCGCGTGGAAGTTGCGATTGCGAGTTTGATCGGTCGGAGCCTCTGAAGGATAGAGTTCGTGAACTGCATCGACACATTGCTCGCCGCCTGCTTGCAAGCGAGGCGGATAGCAAAGACAGTCCGAGTTTTAGGACGTGCTCGGTCAACCCCGGAGCCTAAAAAAGCCTTAAACTAACCCAGGTGTTTCTACGAGTTGTCGATGTTTGGCTGCTGGCCCCTTTCGGCGTCATCTCGAACCTGAAGTTTGCGAGTGCCTTCAGGCAAGTTGCAAGTTGTGATTCTAAAGTACATGGCGTCATCCGGCGCTTGCACTCGGCCAACTTCAGCCCGAGAGGATCTTTCATGTTTTTCGAGCCGTCAAGCTCCGACCTCAGTAGTTTTGTGACTTGAGTCGCACTGCCCCGGCTCCACTATGCCAAATGGTCAATGACAAACCGAATAAGAGATGCTTGTGAAATCAGCTGCTGCCAAGGCAAGTGCAGCTCAATGCATCCTTTCGGGAACTCTGGCTAGTCGTCTCCGCACTCGGCGAGACCATGTGGAGCCGTGCCAAGAACGGTAGAGAAACATTCAGGCTGGCACTTGCAATCTGTGTTGGACTGTGGCCCGAGCTTTCAAGCACATATTCATGCCGCGTGCATGTGTGGACAACCCTTTCAGACAGCGTTCGCATCCTCGGCCACACGATGGGCCACATGTTCTTTCGAATGTCGTTGGGAATGCTTGTGTTTCGGGACTGCCACCTGCACGGAAGCGCAGGGTGAGTTTACATACTATCATGCCGCCCGAGGACGCTCTTTTGGGTCGGCGTCATGATCATCGGGGTCATTTGGGTCTGCGGCATCTTGTTCCTCGGTCATATTCATGCAAGAAAGGGTGTAGGGTTGTCAGCTTGAGCTTGAGCTTGAAACATGGAGCTATCGCGAGAGTTTCCGAAACGCTCAGGGTCACCATGGCGGTGCTGGATCAGAAGAAAGAGGAACGAGAAGAGGGCCGGCAATGCTTCATGTCTCGGGAGTGTTGGTGCTATCGAAGACGGCTGGAGCGAGACTACGCTGGCCAGGTTTCGAAGTGTTGCCTAAAGCCCCAACCCGGTCAGAAGCAGCTTTTGAGGACTTCAACCTGGATCGTGCAGAGTGGGACTTCGATGAGCAACCTGCAATCAAGATTGAGCAGAAGACCAACAAGTCACAGCAGTCACAGATTAAAAACGAGTCCATGCTGGTTCCCCACCTCTGATGCAACCCATGTTCTTAACCTCAGGTCAGGCAACTAACATGACCCATTGCCCTGGAGTCACTGACATGATGACGATCTTGCGATCGCGCGCTTCGTTTTCGGCTCTGCCTCTGCATATCTCTGCACGTATGTTGTTCAAGGTACTGGGGAAGTGTCCTCCGCAGTTCGTGCCTTTGGAAGCAGGAAGAATGTCGTGCCTTCGGTGAGTTAAGGTGGTTTGCGTCGTCTGCCCTGCTTGTGGCTGCTGCAGCTCTGCCCGTGTCGCAGTCGCTGCATTGCAGTTGCCCAGGTACTCCCTGTTCCAGGCAGCGCGGGTATTTAGTCGATCAATACTGTCGAGATTTGAAGTCCCAACCACCTGGGTGCAGAGTTGCCTGCATCGTTGGATTGGGGAGGATGGGTGGGAGGCCCCTGCAAACCCTGTACTATTGCGTTGTTACAAATGGATCTTTCGTTCGTTGTAGTCTTTTGCCGTCTTGTCGGTGCCACGACTGCCGCTCGCTTTGTAGGCTGGAGCATGTATTCGCATGTGGCAGCGGCAGGTTGTGACGCGCGACAAGTGGTCGGACTCCTTGGTGTGGCTCGGTGCACAAAGTTAGTGGGTGCTTGTGTGCAGAATCGGGAGGCCGCCAGTTCTTATGCACCGTCGCTTTGCCCCGCTTCACCATGTTGAGCATCTTCTCCCTGTCGGACTGCTACCCCATACCCGCTCACCTCGCTCAAGCATAGCCTGCTGGATTGCTCAGATGGCCTCTCGTCGAAGAGCTCCATAGCTGCATGATGAGACAAGACTTGTAGCCGCAGCATTCTTGCCCCAGCCGCCATTGCACAGACCGACTTGAACTGGCTGCCGGAAGCGAGGGTGCAGGCGTGGAATGAAGCCATGCGCCGAGGAATCCAGGGTTGATGGTGGTGTTCATCTGCTTCCTGACGGTTGCCAGCTTGGTCCCACCCTGAGAATGGAGAGAGTGCGGGATATGACCGAATCGGGCTAGAATGAAAGGTGGAAGGCCTGGTGGCTGCAGGTTGCCGGGGTATACTCAAGAGGCCGTCATGAGACCAAACATGTGAATGGGTTGTAGCGCCACTCGAGCAGAAGCTGCACGATTTGCGGGCTTGATACAGCAGATGCAGTGGGCCGAGATTATGCGCGAATTCGGGGGAGGCAGTCGCACTCCCCGCTGCGCTTGGCCCACCAGCCCACTAGCCTCGCACCCTCGCACCCCGTCACTCCCACACCTGGTCCCCCAGTCAATTCACGAATGATTCCGAGCGAGGTCGGTCGAGAGTTTGACAGATCGAAAAGTTTAAAGGTTGAGAAGTTGGGAGTTCGAAAAAATGAAAGCTTGAGAGTTTGTTTAAAGGCCAGTGCGGTTGATCCATGTTGATCCCATATCTTGAACCCGGCCTCTCATTGGGCCAGTGCAGTCGTCTCATGTCTTAATCCACACCATTCGGCGATGGAGGCTGATCCTACGTTGTAAACTCGCCTCCTCATCAGGCGATAGCGGTTGATTTCATATCTCAAACCGGCCCCCTCGTCAGACAACAGGGCTTGATCTCATACCTATAAACCCGGCCCCTCATTAGGCGATGGCGGTTGATTTCATATCTCAAATCTGACCCCAAAGCACCAGTGCGGTGGATCCCCTATCCTGCGCCCAGCCCTCGAGTGCCGTTGCTCTGATGTCTTTCCGTCCGCCCATTAGGCGATGGCGGTTGATGCCTGGTCAGTCCTTATCTTAAACCCGCCCCCTCATTAGGCGATGGTGGTTGATCCCATGTCAACTCGCCCACCCGCTAGGAGATGGCAGTTAAGCTATGTTAAGCTTATGTCTTATACCCGACCGCTCGCTACATGATGGCGCTTGATCGATATCTTGAGTGGGCGAGCGCGGTTGATCACAAAGCTAGACATGGCCCCTCATCAGGCGAGCGTGGTTGATCTCACACCTGAACCCCGTTCCCCCGAGAGCGATGGCGGTTGATTTCATGTCTCAAATCCGCCCCCTGATCAGTAGGCGATGGCGGTTGATCCCACGTTTTAACTCGCCCCCTCATTATGCGATGGTGGTTGCTCTCATATCTCTAATCAGACTCCCTCGGCCCTCCCCTGCCATGGTGGTTGATCCCGTCTTCTCGTTAGGCGACTGTGGTTGATTCCAACGCCCATAATCCCAGTCCGTGGTGGGGTTTGGGGGCGGGGGACGGGGGTTCAGAACCAGCACCTAGTCCCCATTTCCTGACTTCTGATCTGAGTCTCTGATGAACTCCGTGATTGGTGTCGTCGTTGCGGCCCGGCTGCAATAAAGCCTCGCAGAGTGGTTCGACTTGCAGTGGACCTTCATGCCAGAATGCTTGGTCTGTTCAGTTGCTCGGCCACTCTTGCGGACACCATGTCGAGCGATGGCACAGGGTTGACAGGCATGAGGTTAAGTTGCGTCAGCTCTGGGGAGCTCGATGATGTCGAGGATGATGATGATGATGATGATGATGATAGCCATCATGATGACGACGTGCTGGTGATGATGGTGCATGGTGTTGATAGCGGATACGGCGATGAAATGCCGACTTCTGCCAACCTTACGAAGAACACCAGGATGATTCTGCTGCTGATGCTGATGATGATGATGACCACATATGACCACCGTGGTGGCCATGGTGATGCCGCGAAGGAGAGGGTAAGGTGGTAAGGTTGATGACCAACGCTCAAGCGATTATCGTGAAGAGAAAAGTCATGATAGGTCGGGTTCGATGCTGTGGTAGTGCGAGTATCGGAGGTATTGACGATTGAAACCTGGGATGTTGGATCCAGCCTGTGTTGCACCTCTGCTTCGGGCATTTGCAAACATGAACTCATGCCAAGCACATGTTCTTAATACTTTGCAGAAGGTCGTCTTTGCTATGGTTTTGGGCCTGGTAGCACAGACCTACCATGCAAGCAGAAGATGATCGAAGCTACGCTCGTCTGAACCCCCACAACATGCGGGCTCAAAAATTGACCCTCCATTCAGGCGACTCCTTCGTTAAAAAACATCCGCTAGCTGCGACTCTTCGTGCGAGCCTGTAACACCTGCTTCGAGGAGAGCACCTTATCAAGCGCACGAGCTACGGCAGATCGAGAGAAGAAGGCAGCTCGGTTTTGGTTGCAACTTGCGTTCCATCGGCAGCCCTGGGAAATGCATTGCGGCCCAGACAGGGATGATCCTGCATAACTTCGTAGCTGACTCAGCTGAGGTGAAGGAGCGAATTGATAAGTTGGCCCGGCACTTGGCTTGCCAACAGATGCATGTAGGGAAGCTCATGTCGGTGGGTCTGTTTAATCAGGTGCTGCAATCCATGCGCGAAATCTTCGAAGCAGCAGACACCGACAAGTCTGGACGGATTGACAAGGACTTGGCGTCATGTACTGTTCACCGAATCATGATGAAACAGCCCGAAACAGTTGGAGCGTTCCTTTCCATGGGGCAGGACGAACTGCAAGCGTCCTTCCGTGCTTCGGATCGAAGCTTTATGCCAATAAGCGCGTGAAGCGCACGGGCGTACGTGCGCTCGACCTGTGGGATGCTGGAGTCGCCTGCAGAGTTTCAGTTGCTGCAGCTGGCGATCTGTGCGGTGTTCTGGTGTGCGCGCGCTTTGTTTTCTTGTTGGAGTATGCGTGTGTGTGTGTGTGTGTGTGTGTGGCAGCCTTGATTGTAAGCTAAAGGTTTCTGGGGTGCTGCGGATGTCTTGCGAATTTCGATCAGCAAGGGCGTCAGGCCCATCATCTGACGCAACGAAGCTATGGGAGGATGGGGGAAGCACCGGTCGGCCACCGGTATGTACCGGCAAAGTGGTGATGAACATAAGATGGCATCAAGCGTTTTCGCTGCGCCTTGATTAGCCTCGCCGCTTGCACAAAACTGCAATCTGTTCTGCAAGCCACAGGTCTCGACACTGAGGTTTGCTCAGGTATGGACGCAGCAGCCGAAAGCTTTCATCACTGTACATCACTTTACATCCACCGTCTCCGTGTGTGTTTGTGTGTCCGTGTGCGCGGGTGGGTGGGTATTTGTGGTTGTGTATGTGGGCGTGCGGGCACGCGCTCGAATGTGCCGAGTGGGTTGGAGAAGACCCGGAATCACCGATTTGGGTGTGAGCGGCCGTCATTTCAGACAGCTGGACCGGATGCTGGAGGGAGTTCCGGAGATGGATGCTCGAGTTTGTTCTCATTTTAGGTACGGCTGGTAATCAATATCTAGTCCTTTTATCTCCCTTTATCTCGGTGTTTCCCAGTGTGTCCGACAGTGTAAATGTACAGATAGAGTGTAGGGCCTTTGCATTCCTGTGGCTGGCTGTGGTATTCGACATATTTGAGCGGGGCCGCGGCTGCAAGGCAATCATCGGGTCAAAGACCGGTTGAAGCTGCTCCACATACCCTTCAAGGCAAGGCCGCAATAAGGCTTCAAGGGTTTTGGTATCTTCCAGACGCTGGTCAGTAGCTTCGAAGCTTCTGAGCCTTCTGAGCGGAGCATTTTACTGTTGGTATGGAGTGCCATGCAAGCCATAAGTAAGGATCGAGTGCCCTTAATATTGAACGCCCCTGCAGTCTTATGCAGCCCAACCGGATACTACATCAGCCGAGTTAACCGGCGAGACCCAAATGCGCCGTCATGAGTCACAGATTGGCCGCAAATGAATTTACTCTTGGCTTGTCTTGTCCCAATCGGACACGACATGTCCTGGCGATGTTGTCCAGAGGGCACCAGGACAACTTGTTTCGGATGAGGGGGGCGACTTATACCCACAACAATTTGACATTTTCTTGGCGGTGTTTTTCGCACGGGCGAAGATGCACTGAACTTGATCCACTCGCGTGGTGCTTCGCCTTTGGATTTAACCAGGCATTCCTGAGCCCAACCTACGAGCTTGCGCTCCTCTAGAACCTGTCGTCTCTTGCCCTCTGAAACTGATGAACACGGGTAGTTGCGGGCATAGACGAGGACCTGGAAATGCTTTTTGGCATTCTTGACGATGAGAACGACGGTGAGATCAACACAGACAAGCACACATGCCTGCAAGTGGACATATTTGCACTTGTGGATGTGTACCAAACGGATGATTGTGGCACCTTTCTCGGCTCAGAGGTTTTTTCGCGGTGTCGAGCGTCTGCGAGGGCAAGCTGCCGCTTCTGACCTGCACCAGATGCACCGTGGCTCAAACAAACTTCTTGGGAGATTCTTCTGATAGGAGGTGGATTGGTCAGGACATACAGTAGACTCGCAGAGTCGAGATGTCTCAGCCTTGTACTCTGAAACTATGCAGTGCTACCAGCGATTCTGAGCGGCTGTTTCAGCTGAGGAATATAGATTTGAACAAGCGGTTGAAATGGTGTGACTCGCACCAAAAGGAGGCCCGGGCTGCGGGCGCTGTGAGCGGCAGAAGCGAGCAGTGGGTTGACATCCTGTCGTTCCCGAGATCTGAAAGCTGGGTGCAGACCGGCGGGCTTTTGATTCAGGCTGCATCCTTTGTTTGGATTGCTGTGTGCATCTGTGTCTGTGTCTGTGTCTCTGTCTGTCTGTTTGTCTGTTTGTTTGTTTGTCTGTCTGTCTGTCTGTCTCTCCCTCTCGCTATCTATCTATTTGTCTATCTATCTATCTATCTATCTATCTACCTACCTGCCTATCTATCTCTCTGTCTGTCTATCTGCCTGTCTTTTTTCTATCTATATTTCTTTCTTCCTCTATCGATACATACACATACCTGCACATGTACTTATATGTCACGTGCGCATCTATGTTTCATAAGCTACGTGTACTTACGTGTACTGTAACCTCCGACCATACGAATATAGGAGGCAAGAGACTGACAAAAACACCGAGGTGCCTTCAAAGATCCCGTGATGGGAGTGGCCGCTGGCTGAGCACTGTGACGTGCTACGCCGGAGGTTGGTTTGTCAGGCGAAGGGGCTTACAGTTTTCACATTGCTCGTTGCATGGGGTGTGGATGATGCAAGCGGCGGAAAAGATCGGTGATCCCCTCGGCCATCCTTGAGCAAAGGGTGTTTGCCACTCCACTCAGTACAAGCTCATGGATCTAGGGTTCGGGATTTGAACAGCCAGCCTTGGGTTCTGGTTCCAAAGACTCCGACTGCAGCAGAACCTCTCATGCCCTCCCCTCCCACTCTCGCTCTCGCTCTCTCTGTCCTGTCTCTCTCGCTTTGTGTTTCTGAGCTATCGTGTATCCTTTCACTTGTGTGCTTTCCCTGAAAGTCTGTGTCGTCTGCATGCTTGTTCATTGTGCTACTCAGGGAGCACTGCAAGGATCAAGGCGCCTTGTGGCAACTAGCTGTTCTCACCACTCTGTCGACAAGCTGGGTTTGCACGCGCTCGGCTTGGCGGGCTAGCACAACAACTTGAGCCAAACTGACTTGATGTGCAATTGTTCGTCGGGCTTGCTTTCTTTTGTTGAATTTTTGATGGAAAGGAGCCTGTGGGGACCAGCGTTTGAGCTCGGGATCACTGTTTGGAATTTAGGTGTCAGTGATGCCCCCGTCTTAACGGCTGCATGGAGATCTATTGAGCAGATAAAGGGGTTTTCACAAGATGCTTGACTTGCAAGACCCCGAAGCAGGAATCTCCTTGCGTGACCCGGCAGTGTAAAGCGCTCATGACCTCGTTGCCGACTAAGAGGCATCAGCCCTTGCTTTAGGAGGCCTTGCGGCCCAGACTAAGGTCGAACAGCTCAACTGCACTGCCCGCGAGTTCGTCCACCGGGCGCTGCATGGGGTTCTCGACCAGCTTCGATACACAGGACGGCTCCTGCGACTCTTCAGGCATATTCGTTGCCGGGAGAGTGCCTGGGAGTTGCGATGTTGAGAGCAGCTTCCACTGCCTTTGTACGTAGTCATTCGTTCTTCAGCAATCATTACTGGGCCACGCACGGAGGTTTTCTCCGGCGTTCCAAAGCTGTGCAATTTCTCTTAGCTCACCGGCCGGCCGCGGTTCAAATCACATGATTCGCACACCTCGTGATTGAATCTCCATGGCATATCTTTCCGTTCCGAACCTAAATAAAGTCCCCGATCCTAGAAACGAGTAGCAGTAGCAGTAGCAGTAGCAGCTGCAGTATTCGCACCATTACCAATATAATTTTTAGCAGTTATCGCAGATTTAGCTGTAGCAGTAGCAGTACCAGTGTTTTCTTGGCAGTGGTAGCGGTATTGGCAGCCGTGCAGCGAACGCATCACTGCATTCTCTCGAGTCGTGCTTCTGGGTGTTTGCATCGCTGCGTTGCGTCCGTCCTCTGTATGAATCCGTCCTTGCTGTGTGTGAGTCTCTGCGTGTGGTGAGCGAAAACCCTGCCACACGACAGCCTATCGTGCAGTGAGGGTTCCATCGGTCAATTAATCGTACTTAAGTATGTAAATGCAGCATCTCCGAGGGCAAGACATGATCCAAACCACACTTAGCTTAGTTCTTCGGATGCTCGCTCGACGCGTCAGGAGCTGCCGATGCGGTTCAGATTTCGGTATCTTACCACTTCGATCAGGGCCACTCCCATGCCAGGCACGGGCCCTTGATGCATGTTGTGTAGTGCATGCAGGTCTCTATGTATGCTTGTATGGGCAAGTGCATGCAGACACAATGTTGCCGTATGCAGTGTAAAGGCAACATGATGAGGACAACGGCAGCGGCGCGTTGCTTGTCATAGAGCTGTAGCAGTGGCTTGCGCATTGTCATAATGCAGCCTTGTCTCTCATCATGTGGTCAGGGGGCCTTTTTGTGGATGGGTCCACATCCACAGTGAGTTCCCGTTTGCAGGGTCAGAGCTGACAGAGTAAGTTTAGGGCTATCAGATGAACTGCGGCGTCGGACAGGCGAGATGCGAAGTTGGCTGCCTCGGCCCAAAAGGGTACTAGCTTGAAACGAAGGCAGGTTTAAGGTTCGCAGGATTCTGAGCCTCAGATTTTCAAGATGCACGCTTAGCCTGCTTTCAACCCGCAGGTTTTGTGTGAAATGCATGAAGCATATTGAGTATATTGGGACTGTCTGAGCACGTCGCCATATCTGATCCATGTCGCAATACCGGACGATGCTGGGCAGCCTTCCATCTGGTCGCAAGGGGTCTGAGGGTATTTGGGCGATTGGTGATGGCCAGAGCTCACACTTTCGCGAAAAGAAGATCGTGACATCCTGCCGTGAACCCCTGCCAACCCATGCCCTCCCAGCCAAAAGACCAAGTCTTGCAGATGCAAAAGCAATTCTGCAATCAGAACTGCGACAAACGAGAATGCAGGCAGCCGTGTAAGGGCAACACCACCACGAAACCACCGCCGCCGCCAATCCGCCACTGCCATCACTGCATCCTGAAGACTTGAGAAGCATGCGAAGCCTGGACGTGTTGCAAAGCTGAGGAGACGGAGTTCGCCGGCGAGGCGGAAGCGGAGTCCACCGTGTCTAGTGAAACTCGCAGCCAGCGCAAGACCTAGAGACGGCATAGTCAGGACTGGACGGCCTTCAATGCCTCGATGTGAAGGGAATCGTCCGGGTGGCGTCGTTTACGGTTGACTGGGCACGCCATTGAGGATCGAAGAGACCCACATCTCCCCCAAGCCCGACTGCATCTGATGCCCGTTTAGCTCACTGGATCCGGTTAGCATCCTGTCACAAAGAAAGTCCTCCCACCGTAGCCTAGAGACACTGCACCTCAACGCACTTGCTTTACAACGGCAGCCACGTAGCCCAGGTAGAATGAAAAGCCCCAGACCAAAGATGACCAAAGCCCTCATCCCAGCTTTCGAAGCGGGTGGTCAGTGCCGATGTGTCCCGTGACGGCCAATGGCATGGCCTCCCCTTGCTTCTTCCGGCCCTTGGCGGCTGTGCTGTACGATCACGCCGAGCCCATGGGGCTTGTGGGGCGAGGCAAAGAGGGGGCTTGGGCCTTGGGGTAGCAGTGGCATGCATTGGTAAAGATAATCGCAAGCTATTGGAAGGAATGGGGAGGCTTTGCAAGTTCAAGAAGCACCCTGTGGCATCAGCATTCACAGGTCGATCGCCAAAGAGCCGGCCATCAGACTCAGAGACCGCGCTTTGCAGCGCTCGCAAGCACCCCAGAGCAGTTTCTGAGCAAGGTGACTTTGCATGGCAACACCAAAAAATATTCCATTATGGCTAATTGAACCAGTGAGCACCAGGGCAATGCCTTATGTCAGCAATACGCTTGAGTCGCAATGGCGAATGTCAGTATATGGCTCAAGCGACTGGTGTTCCCGCACGCCACTTCTGTGATTGAAAACTTTCCCTTCGCTCGCCTTTGCTCGACATGGCTGCGACAGCTACCCCGCTGATGCTTGGACCGTTGTTGAGGAATTTGCGGCAGCAAGGGGGCTGCGGGAGATCGATGGTGCCACGCTTTTGGCGATCACCAGGCACGATGTTTTTAGATTTTGCCAAGCACGAGGAGATGCACATCTCCGCGCCTTTCCGAGACGACCGAGTCCGCCCTGGACGAAGAGCACTTCCGCCCGTGCCTGTGGGGTGACTGGCGCCATGGCAGCACTGGTGACTCCAGGGCTGACAGGGAGCCCTTTGCCCCGAATCCTATGCAGCACGGAAAAAGGTTCGGATGGTCTGCTCAAGATCCATGCAGGGCAGGCTCCTGAACTTTTTCTTGTCTATGTGCCTCAAAACTTCTGCACCCAGCCTCTTGGTCAGGCTTCACTGCATCTCCAACAGTACCGCCACATTTTCATCGGCATTCGGACGGGATTCTGCACCATCTTGGCCGCGACCTTCACCTCGGCCCGGGGTCGCTCGGCCCGGCCCTCGAATGCCGCGGGGTCTGCGTCACGGCTTCACCAGACACTCTGCTGGTAGATTGGCACGACGTCGCTGTTGTAGCTCTGCTCCCCCTGACCAGCGGGAGGGGCTGCGCCATGTTCGAGACATTCACCAAAATTTGGAACTTAGCTGCCTCGGGAAAGTCCCTCAGGACTTGGGCCAAAGGCACCCACGTCCTGGTGGGGCTCCCGGGTGATGCCGCCATTGCGTAACAGCATCCGCCACGCCTGGCCCTTGTTTTTTATGTCCACCAGGAGGGTGCCATGTCCACAGGTTGGCGTGTTGCCCACAGAGTCACAGAGCATGCACTTGGCACCCGGGACCCAGGCTCCGTAGCAATGCGGGCACATCTTGTCCGATGGCTGTCTGCCTGGCTGTGGGGACCAGGTTTCACCGCCGATGCCCTGGCGACCCACAGCGGCCGGCGTCTTCAAGAGCACCTCGCGCTGGCTGTCTTTTCGCGATGTGTAGGTCTCGAGCATTCTCGATCATCCTCTCGACGCCGACACGGTTGAAAGCTCCACCAGCTCGTCCTGGGTCATGGTGCGGATGATGGGTTGCAGGTGCACACCGGCGCGGGGAAGCCATCGGACATGCGGGGACCGCTCTTCGCGATGGGAGCCCGGTGAAACGAGACCTGGACTTTGACGACTTTGTTGGGGGTGCACGGCCCCACCCCTACAGCATGTGAGATGATGAGTGTCACAACCCGTGGGAGCAAAGCGGCCTACAGGGAGACCCGCACTTCAAGAGGCCGGGGAAGAGGCGATGGAACTCCTCCGGGAGGGCACGGCCTCCAGTGAGGAGTGGCGCCTGATCTGCAAGAGATGGGGGCTTTCCTCGCGGTCAAGCACTTCTGATCGAGGAGCCCTTGCGGTGGTCATGGAAACCTCCAGGACTCCAAGGAGCACCCTCATCCTCCCGGGGCCGTTTGTAACCTTGAGATCACGGTCGGCAATGTTAGCAGCGTCGCCTCCCTGGACTACAAGAA